ATATATATTACATACATATATATATGTATATATATTACATACATACATACATACATATTTATTACATACATACATATATATATATATCAGTTTATTATTTTGGTTGGTACATTGAAATATACTATGGTGTTTGTCCTTATAGTCAGGAAAGGGCGAACGGAAACGGGATCATGGAACTCTCAACCGAAGACATCGACTCAATGATGGACGACGGGTTTGTACGATACGACGATTCCAATTTATTTGCCGAAGATGATGAACCCGAATTCGAATTCCAGATGCCGAGCTTCTTGAAAAGGTATTCGCGTCAATAGGTGGTGTTTGTTTTGTTTTGGTTAAAAATCTGTTCTGTTGTGTGTGTGCTTGTGGTCAACATCACAGATCGTTTTTGTAGTGCGGCACAGATGCGTCTATTGACTGCGATACAGACTCCTCTCGGTCTGTTATGTGCTAATGTTTAACGTTAAAAAAATATTGAACTTAGAAAAATTCTGAGAAATATAACTTCCGCCCGCATGTGTGTATCGTCACGCATGTGATGGCCTATGTATATAAATGTATATGCTTTATCATAATTTTTTCTAGTATCATGTCGTACAGTCCGTAGATACCTGCTAATTTCGCATCGCGCTGTGAAAAGGTTATATATAAACACCAATTTGGCGCAGGGTCCGGAAATGTTATATATTAACACCAATTTGGTGCAGGTTCCGAACATGTTTATTAACACCAATTGGGCGTTCCGGACTGACCTCATTTCGCATTACATTCGAATTCTGTAGCGCAGCGTGCAATGCATTCGATTTACTCTTGGCCACGTGCACACCAACGGCATAGGACAAAATCGCGCACATTCTTCAATCTATCTATTTTTGGGTTGTTGTACTGTTTGCGCCCAGTTCTGGTCGGATTACCTCCGATCTTCTCGAATTCTTGATCTATTTCTATACCTGTGTAAGATGTATATCTGTGTGTTAATATATATATATATATATATATATATAATGCATGAACTGCCAATGCGATTGCCTATGCGATTGCCTTCCACCCACACGGGACTGAATACCCCTTTTATCCCCATCCTCGCCCAGAAGAAGCATCTCCAGTTTACCCTGCTCGCAGTCTATGAACGTCTTCCCGAGCAATAACAACGCCTCCGCCACCCACACCAACGACAGCTCAGTCACCTCGGTCAGTCTATCGCCACTGCCCCAACAACCTCCGCCACAGACCGCCTTAGACAGCCGCAAGGCCGTGAGCATAATACGCGAGGAATCATCTCACGCACACAGTGTTGGGGCGGATAAGAACACGGGTATGGACAGCCCAATGAATGGTATGAACTCTACGGACGGGGCCATGATGCACACGGGTGACATGGATATGGACGACCTCCGCAGTGGTGGTCAGGCGAATGCGGGGTGTCTGGGGAAGAATAACAATTGTTGCGTGATTCAATAGGGAGCCGGTTGGGGAGGGCGTGCGAGGGTGACCCCCCCCCCCCCCCCCCGCCGGCACACT